ATATAGTGAATGTTTGAGTTTGTAAAAGAATACAAACACTGCTATTTTTTTGAACCGTCTAATATTCACTTTTCTTCAATTTTTTTTAGAGGAACAACACAAATTTGATATATTTTTCTTCATGTTTTGATTTGAAATAGAATGTGTAGTGTTCCCACTGCATTTGTGTGTATGGAAATAAAAGCTATTAGAAGGATTTTGAGCTTTATTCACTTTTTTCAACACACTGCTATTATTTTTAACCCAACTGTATGTATATATATATATAATCTTACAAAGAAAAAAAAAACACAAAACTTCATTTAGAAAAATTACTGCTTCTTTTTTATATCTGAGTAAAGGTCAACTTTAGATTCTTTTTCAACTTCCATTATGGTTTTTATCCTACATAGGGTAGATAAGCAAAAGGCATACTGAAACTGTTAAGCAGCAGGTAAAATATGCAGTTCTTTTATATGTTCTTAAGACACTCAGCTGTAGTCTCGGTAATGTCATTCAGCTATGGTACTATCAGCCCCAGACATAAAGAATTATGATTCAGCCTGAAGCTTTTTAATGAGAGAGTAAAAACATTTCTAATAAAATTTCAAATTGAGATGGTTCATGCTAATGCAGCAAAGGTTATGTTGCCAGCTTCTCGACAATACACAAAGAGAATGTAATATCATTACATTGATATACACTAGCCTGGTTTTAATATTAAATACAATTTAAAGCCATCACTGTACCCTCTATGGCTGCACACTGAACACTCCGTATGTATTGTCGGTATGTTTAGCATCAATACTCAAAGCTTCATTTAAGCTTAAAAAAGACACTCAAAGATCTCTCTTATAAATCTTTGACTTTGCAGCTTAGCATAATGCTAGAGGTCTTACGTCCCAGTATCTGGTGACTTTTATGGGGATTTTTTTCTAACTCTGCCTTAAATAAGTTCTGAGTGCCTTTTTTTGTGAGATAAGTATCAAATGACTTCAATGTTTTTTTTTTCTGTTTGTTTTAAAAAAAATGCTATATATGCTGCTATTTGTGCACATTTCCCCATGTTTAGCAATGTTGCAGCATACATTCAGTGAGTTCCTAACTTCCTTTTCCTCTGTTGTTTAAATCCCAAGTGGTGTTATGAGCTCTCTCAACCCTCTTCTGCTTGGGAAAGTCTTGCCTATACTTTATGGAAAGGAGAATGGGGGAGGTCTTATGTAGTTCAGCAGAGAACAGGGCAGGGCTGACAACATTTCTCTAGTTTTTTTGAGCACATTCTACTGGAATTCTCACCAAGGGATAGTTCACTTCTGTTTAAGACTTTGGGGGAAGCAGAGAATGGTCATCAGGAGTAGATAATTTCCTACCATGAGTGGAACAAACGCTTCAGGCTTAGTGGCCAGTAGGATTAAAAAATGGTGGTAGTTAGTGAGAGTAAAATATGACTATTGACTGTGGTCAGTAGGGGGAAACATAGTTCCCCAAGTTCCCCATTGCTGGTGTCAGTAGAAGGAATGACACCAGCATTGGTGTCAGTGGGAGGAGTTGTGTCGTAGTATTAGAAAAGGAATAGTGCCCCATCATTGGAGTCCATGGGAGGAATTTTATTATTATTATTATTATACAGTATTTATAAAGCGCCAATAGTTCGCTCAGCGCTGTACATTACAAAGGGGGACAGAACATGTGACAGAACAATACCAATACAATGCAAAACATGAGGGGATTGAGGGCCCTGCTCCTTGGAGCTTACAATCTAGGAGATTAAGGAGATAAAGGAATAGTCCTTTATCATCGGTATCAGTGGAAGAAATAGTATGCCATCATTGGTATCAGTGGAAGAGATATTATGCCATCATTGGTATTAGTGGAGTCTATAGTGCTCCATTATTGGTGTAAATAGGAGGAATAGTGCCCAGTCACTGGAATCCATGGAAGGGATAGTGTCCTATCTGTGGAATCCATAGAAGGAATAGTGCCCCATCATCTTTGCAATGTACAGCACTGAGCGAACTGTTGGTGCTTTATAAATACTATATAATAATAATAATTTGTATCAGTGGAAGAAATAGTGTGCCATCATTGGTATCGGTAGAAGGAATAGTGCCCCATCATTGATATCAGTGGAAGGAATAGTGCACCATCATTAGTATCAGTGGAAGGAATAATGCCCCATCATTGGTATCAGTGGAAGGAATAGTGCGCCATCATTGGTATCAGTGGGAGGAATAGTGCACCATCATTGGCATCAGTGGGAGGAATAGTGCACCATCACTGGTATCAGTGGGAGGAATAGTGCACCATCATTGGTATCAGTGCAGGTACCTGTCAAAAATGAGGTGCTTGCTCCCCCTTCCCCCTCAAAAAGTGCCAAATGTGGCAGTGGAAGACGAGGGGGGATGCAAAGAAGCAGAACGTTCCCTTCTGGGTGAAGTTCTACTTTACATTTTAGCTTTTTACTTGAGGTGTGTCCCCTAGAAAGATAACCAGATCATCATGACCATTGGAAAAAAAAGGGTTTACTGCTGTCTCTTATCCACCTTTGTATACAATATGAAATGTCCCCCTATATTCCTCCATTGTCCCTTTTAGCCCTTGTACAGGTGTACAGAATGTATATCCACCCTAGCTTTTAAGAATGCTCCATGCACTGTACAGTTGCCACGTACAGTTTGTTCATTCAAACAGCAACTTCCAAGAGCTCCAAACTCCTATCACTCATCCACTCAATCTGAGTTCTTTCTGTCTCATAGTACGATTTATTCCTTTTTCATAGGCAAAAGTAAATGTTCTTTAAAAGCTGAACATTATGTTACATGTTCGCAAGAGCATCTACAATCTTTTGCTGCTTGTAGACACTCATTAAGGTTTGTTTCCTGCATTAACCAATTGTTCCTAGTGCAGCTTAAATCTTCTGCATTGCTATTAGCAGGAAAAATACTGACAATATATTAACAGATGTATCTGTCTTGCTTAAAGTGTATTTCACGGCAAAAGAAAAACACACACTATTTAGTACACCTCTACAGTACATGCACATTTCCTAAGCTGTATCTCTTTAAAATGTGCAGAAAATGACTTGATAACAGGGGCGGACTGACAACTCATGGGGCCCCCGGGCAATAGGGGATCATGGGGCCCCTGTGTCCTTGCCCACACTCAAAGCACACCCAAAAAAGCCTATAAAAAAGGTACCAGGGGCATTTCATGGGGCCCCCTACTGACGCTGGGCCCTCGGGCAGTGCCCAAGTTTTCGATTGGTCAGTCCATCCCTGCTTGATCTGCTAGAAACCCAGTGTGTGGCTAATTTTATCTTTGGCCTGACTACCCAGTGCCTTTACTGCTCCAACTACCCCAACCAGCATTGCCAGGTCTGTCTGTTGGACTACAGAACCCTCTGTTCCTCTTCACATGCATGCATTCATTTCTTTCCTGTTTGTGTTGTTGTCTTCAGCAAGGCATCCCTGAGAGCTGCACTTTAGTTTTAGTTCCACAACCAAGGTCCATCCATACCATCAATGGTTCTGATGTGAGTTATTCACTTCCAGAACCTGCATTTCAGATAGTGCCCCTGCCAACCACTGGTGACACAAAGGGTCCAGTCTATATATGTGAGCAGTTCATATTCTAATGTTAAAGATGAATTCCAAGTATAGCAATGTTTACATAGTTTTATTGATCCAGTTTGGACCATACCTGTTTGATCCCAGTGGAAGCTAGAAATCATGAAAGTAGGCACCGCTACTCCAGTGCTCTCCACTGGTTTCTGTTTCCCATTCTGAGTGGCTGCACTTAAAGTAGATCACCCGCTCGTCACAGGTGCCATTCAGAGAACACTTCATCATCACCAATTCACCTCTTTACCTCGTCCAATCAGAGTATGCTTTGCATTCAATGAGAAAATGCAAAGCATTCCCTTAATGGTGCCCTTGCCAAGTGAGCAACCTTCTGTGTTCGCAATGCAGCAGGTTATCTACTCGACACAGGACCAGGAAGCCAATAGATATCACTGCAGTAGCAGAGCCAACTTCAACGATTACCAGCTTCCACCGGTATCCCACAGGTATGGTACATGGAATAATGTAATTATGTACAAATTGCCATACCTAAACTCCACCTTTAAATCTAGGCACAATAAAACAAAAGATATGCAGAACATTTCCAATACATGGACATTTCCCAATGTTTTGACTCTTCAAAATTGCTGTAAGCAGAAAAAAAATGTTGATCTGCAAGAAATCTAGTGAGCTCCAAACCCCTGTAGTAAGCAGGCAACCTGGTGCCTCAACTAAACTCAAAATCTTAGAAGTACTGTCATCCATCATCAGTAGTCCTATGCTGGACAACAGAGCACCCCCACTCCTCCTGCTCTCCATTCCATAGAGAAAAGATGTTTTGTAGCCTATAGAGGAGAATTGAGCAGGGCTGACAACCCTGCTTGGGATTTCAGAAGTACTGTTGTCATCTCAAATAGAAAGTTATTTTTTGACACTTACTGCATGTTAGCGGTCTGATTATGTCCATATATCTGTGCTCAAAGCGGTACATTTTTTTGCATGGAAAGATGTATTTTTTTTATTGTAGGCCTGAAATGCTTAGGAATAACTCACTGAAATCTGTCCAAACAAGAGTCTAGTAAACATCCCGGGTATGTTACAATTTGAAACACGAAATCATAAATTATAATTTAATAAATAATCATAAAAAATAATAATATAATAATACATTTAATTCAATAATATAATGAAACCAAAAACACTGAAATTTGAAATATAGCGCCAAGTTCGCACATCACTGAGCAAAGTCGCAAAATCGTTTTCAGTGTCTGATGATGAATTTCCCCCATGAATCATTATCACTCAATTCTGCAAGTGGTTCTAATTTACTATCGCTGTTCTCTAGCTGGTCTAAAACTGCCTAAAGGGACGCTTTTTGGACGCCATGGACGTTTCTCAGTTTCCAGGCAGAAAGAACGGTAAAAATGCAGGCAGGGCACAGGACAAAGCACTCGGGACAAAATGTATGTGAAATGGTTTGATATAGTAATGTTATACTATGTGATTTTAGTGTATTTAGTGAATGTCACTTTTTGTCATTTTCAAATTTCCCGCTGTTCTGTCCCCGTACGTCCCGACGTCGCAGGGGATGGAACCCAGATGACAGATGCCGGCATCAGCCGGAGGACATTGCCGGGGACACTGCAGGAGGGACATCGCGGTAAGTGAAGAACAGATCCCGGAGCAACGCCGCATGGTAAGCCCGAGTGTAGCTCGGGGTTACCGCTTGTGGTATTGAAACTTTACCCCAAGCTACACTCGGGAATACCGCCAGGAGGGTTAAAGAGACAAAGCATGGGGAAAGATGCATGCATGGCAGAAATGTACTGAATATGTTTTCCTTTTTTATTTTGCCCAAACTTATGCTTTTAACATTGTTGTGAACATAGGTTCATAGCTGTCTTTTTACACATTTGCAAAAAGACCAGTTCAGCAGGGACTGACCGAGATTCAATCCATCTATGGGCAGGCTGATTGTACTCAAGTCGATCCATCGATTGACTTGGGTACAATAACAACTTCTTTGTTGCTACTGTATAGATGATGTTGTTACAAGTCCTATACTGGGTTCTTGAAGTATTTTTTTTATATATAGCCCTCCATTAATAAAGTTGGTAATAGATGGTTTGAATCTTGTCTGGTTCAGCAGGGACTGGCTGAGATTCAATCCATCTATGGGCAGGCTGATTGTACCCAAGTTGATCCATCAATAGATTTGGAATAACACTGTCTTTGCTACTATAGAAGATTTTGTCACAAGCCCTTTATTGGGCTCTTGAAGTACAGTATGCTTTATACTGTATATAATTCTTCATGACTGAGTCTAGCCATAGATGGTTCAAATCTTGACTAGTTCAGAAGGGACCAGCTAGGATACGATTCAACGTTGGGCAGACTGACTGTACCTAGGTCGATCCATCGACTTGTATCCAACAAGCATTTCTAGCATGTGATTATTGCTAGCAGTTATCAGTAATCATTGTATTCTCCTGGCAGGGATAGCTCCCCATGCCCCCCCCCCCCCTTCACTGGGAGATCACAATAGCTCTGTGGAAGGGATTCCTCCATCAACGCTGACTATGTGGATGGGAAAACCAAGCAATTTTCTTTACTGCAACTCGTGGTTGCAGGAAAGAAAATCACATCGTCTATGTCCTGCCTTAGTCATGAGTGGTGAAATAGATAATTATGAGAGGTCTCTGGATGGGGACGAAGGCTAAGATCTTTTGTTGAAATAAAGCCTTGATGCTGAATACATCCTTTGTATGTGGCTGTCTCGTTTTTTTCTTTAGAATAACAATGGCCTTGTTACACTAGGAGATGTTGTTATAAGCCTTTTATGGAGTATATTTATATATAGCACTTTAGTAGGTGTTTGTTACCTTTTTTAAACAAATTCTATTTTTTTTGTCTTTTCTTTTGTCTTTTTTTTGTGTGTGTTTTTTTTAAACATTATTCCAATGATGTAGACTATTTCTACATAGTCCCATTTATTCTCAATAGTTTTTGGTTGTAAACCTTCAAAACTTAGAAAAACAACAAGAAATTGACATTTACAACCTTCCTTCTTCTACATAATGGCTGGTAGCATTTAGAATGGCAGAAGTCAACATTTTGTAAGGTATAGCTCAGATATTTTACTTTGCATCTCAAGGGGAGAAAAAAAAAAGCGTTAGGTGGACATCTCTTCAAATGTCATCGGCATTCTTCAGATTTAATGAGCTCGTTTGTATGTGAAAGTGTGGCAGTTAGTGAAAATGTGTTTGTTTTATGTGTTATTTTGATGGTCTAAGTTATAGCTGGAATGCTTACTTAACTGCATTTTCTATTGATTTAACCCAGTAATTTGTCAAATCCCAATTCTGATGAAGAGGACATTCCAAGTCACATAAAGCTGTCAGAATGATAACATATATTCAAAATATTGTTCAAGTAACTTACTGGCTTGTATTACTATCAATGAAAAGAGCCTGAGGGAAATTTTCTAGGAAAAAATATATATTCAGCATAATGAAAAATAACACTTATGCACTCACATGTCACTGCATATATCACATTTTCAGTGAATGATCCCACAATTCAAAGCCATGCAGTCCAATTACATCACAAAATACTATTTAATAGAATTTGCTGCTTATTCAATTATAATCATTTTGCCAAGGGATTTTCTTTAGTGACTTTTTTGTAAAGTTAACCCATGTAGTTGTACTTATGCATAGGGTTGCCGGAATTGAAGAGAATGTTTTTACTACAACCAATAACAGAACTGAGCACTACGGTATTAATAGTAATAAAGTGTTATAGCTAAATCATCCCTTTTATGCCGGTGTATGAACACATTTGGAAATAGAGTAAAATGTTCCTTTTGGTGCAAGTTTCACATTATCCAGAACTGTTGGGAATTCTGGTGATAGAGAGGATATGACATTACGGCAGAATGGATGGCGCTAGACTATTTTTGGGTGGAACTTACCAATGGTAGAATTTGATTCTATAATATCAGCCACCATGACATAAAGTATACTGTATGTTTACCTTCAGCAACATTTTCCAAAGATTCCCCTATGCAATTTTATATCATCTGAATACTACATACCAGTGCTCCTCCTATTCAAAATGCTCTGGGGAAGGGAGGTCCTCTTAGTAAAAACCTCTGCCCTCCTTGATCCCCTTTCACTTCCTGGACACTACAACTGTGTGCCCCCTAGTGGCCACTCTAGGCTGTTCAAATTGCGCACATGTGCAGTGTGGCCCTCCCCTTAGCTGAGCTTAATCACTGCAGCTAGAGAAGTAGAGTGCGCACTGTGCATTAATGCAGTTTGAACATCCCAGAGCAGCCCCTAGGGGGCATACAATTGGAACGTTCAGCTTGTCCTGCAAATAGCAGAATGGAAGAGATCAAGGGGCTGCTGTGTTTTGCAAAGAGGGCCCCTTCACTGTCGCATGTGCAATGGGAGGAGGTGCAGCATTTGAAAAAAGGAGTGCTGGTATGTAATATTCAAAAGATATGGAATTACATAGGGGGATTTCTGGAAAATGTTTTTGAAGATGAACTTACACTTTAAGTTATAAGTCTTCTGTCTAGAGTAATGAATAGACTTAAAGGATAAGTTCACCTTTAGTAACATGTTACATGGTACACCCATGTTATGCTGTAACATGTTATTAAAGCACCATTCACACCCCGACCTGATCCCTCATTTTGACAGCGAGCAGGGGATCCTCTGCCTGCAACGGTCACCACAATTCAAAAACAGCACAGCTGTGCGGACTCTGCCCATACAGCCACATCATTCATTCTGCGAACAAATTAACTACAAGTACCATCATCCACTGTGGCAGATGGCTTGTAGTTCTCACTGAACTGTAAGGGTGCTGGTGAGCACTCTCATAGTTCATTGATCTTCCTGGACTTCAGTAACTGTCTGCCCATATAGGAGGCAATAGGATACAGCTGTACTGACAGTCTTCAAGAGCCTGACCGGAAATTTATTACTGGCCAGACGACCAGGTAAAAATAAAAGCAAAAAAATCTTAAGAAAATTAATTTGGCCACTACAACTTAATGTGGTTCTAAAGCCTGAAGGTTTGTTTTTTTACCTTTTTACCCATTTGGAATTTATTACTTTTTACCCATTTATTACTGGCCAGATGACCAGGTAAAAATAAAAGAAAAAAAATCTTAAGAAAACTAATTTGGCCACCACAACTTAAAGTGGTTCTAAAGCCTGAAGGTTTTTTTTACCTTAATACAGTCTCTGCATTAAGGTAAAAAACCCCAGTAAGCTGCCCCCCAGCCCCTCCTTATACTTACCTGAACCCGATCCTGGTCCATGATCACGAGAGCAGTGTCTCTCTCAGTTTTCTCCCTTCTCATTGGACAGAGAGGCAGCAGTGGGAGCCATTGGCTCCTGCTGCTGTCAAAAACAGACAGTGAGAAGGGAGAGGGAGGTGGGGACAATGCACACTCTGTGCGCCCATAGATGCAAAGAAAAACTATAAGAATAAAAAAAAAACTAGGAATAAAAAAGTGCGCTAACACTCACTAAAAATACCTAAATAAAGTTTCTCAAACAATAAATGACAATGACAAATGAGAATTGCTGCAAACACACCTAATGCATCACCACACTCAATAACTGAAATGAAAATTAGTGTTGCACTACTCAGTGATATGCATTTCTACTGAATACTCTTTAAAATCAGTGATATAAAATTAATAAAATATTCTGATTTACTTTTCAAAATTAACAATGGGTCGCATAATAAGTCCGATCCTTCCCCGACTAAACCATGTGGGTTGGAGTCGTAGCACATAGGGCGGAGCCAAGTGACGCCACTTTCAGTCTGGAGCCAAAAACTGGAAATTGCCTGAGTGCATATAATGCTGCTATTTTTAATCTACTTTGAGTAAAAACATTATAACATTTGCAGTTTCTCCTTTTCTTCCTGTTTGAATGCTGTTTAATTTAATAGAGATTCTAGTGCCATGGATTTAAAGTGAACCAGTTAACATACAAGAGGTTTATAAAGGATTCTGCTGCCACCTGGAGGACTGCTTAGGAGACTCTTGCTGATGGGTGTGATTCATCTGTTATGCCTTTTCAGACCTGTATATACACTATACTGCCAAAAGTATTGGGAAACCCCTCCAAATCATTGGATTCAAGTGTTCAATGGCCATAAGTGTGTAAATTCAAGCACCTAGGCATGAAGACTGCTTCTACAAACATTTGTGAAAGAATGGGTCACTATCAGGAGCTCAATGAATGCAAGCGTGGTCCCGTGATAGGTTGCCTGTGCAATAAGTCCATTTGTGACATTTCCTTGCTGCTAAATATTCCACGCTCAACTGTTAGTGGTATTGTAACAAAGTGGAAGCAACTGGGAACAACAGCAACTCAGCCACAAAGTAGTAGACCATGTAAAATGACAAAGCAGGGTCAGTGCATGCTGAAGTGCAGAGTGCACAGAAGTCACCAACTGTCTGCAGAATCAATAGCTAAAGACCTCCAAACTTGGTATGGCTTTCAGATTAGCACAACAAAAGTGTGTAGAGAGCTTCATGGAATGGGTTTCCATGGCCGAGCAGCTGCATCCAAGCCTTACATTACCAAGTGCAATGCAAACTGTCGCAAGCAGTGGTGTAAAGCACGCCGCCACTGGATTCTACAGCTGTGGAGACGTGTTTTCTGGAGAGACCAATCATGCTTCACTGTCTGGCAATCTGATGGATGTGTCTGGGTTTGGCGGTTGCCAGGAGAACAGTACTTGCCTGACTG